ATGTATGTATGCATGTATGGTATTCAGCTTTGTTCGGGTATTTTCCCATGTCATTATAGTTGTACTTTTAAACTTGTAGCAATGTTTCGGCAGAATCTCATCTGCCATCATCAGGCTTCTGTATTGTGTTCGTCTGTGAGTCAGACTTTTACAGTTGTTTCAGTTTTAAATTTGGGGCTAGCCTACTGCTGTGCCAGAATGTTTTTTTCTTCATCCTGATTGGTTGGGAGTCTTGGTCTGTGTTTATTGGTCTTGGAGTTTGCTGTGTTCTGCTTGATTGGTGTTTCTAATATCTTCTGTCTGTTTTGTGGCTTTTTTTGTCTTGGTTGGCTGGCAACATTGTGTTCCTGTATTGGAGGTGTTTAGTGCAGCTTGGCTCCGAGTAAATGGACGGCTATCATTTGTTAGGAAGCTAGGTTTCATCTGGGTGCCTGGTTGGGGTGTGTTTGAGCTGGAGGTATCAGGGGGGATCTGTACCCGCCTGGATGAACACAAAAATGCAGTAAAAAAGCTGGAACACACTTCCTCACTAGTCCAACACATGAAAGCCACAGGTCATAGCATCAACTTCAATGGCACCAAAACCCTAGCCACTAGAGAAAACCCCAGCCACAGAATTATCAGAGAAGCCATAGAGATTGAAAAAAGACCTGAAAGCATGAATAGAAGAGATGATTCCACCAGACTGTCAATCATTTGGAAGCCTGCACTCACAAACAAACAAATCTCCACACCACAAGCCAGGCAAACACCTGGGCACAAACAGATCCCCCCTGATGCCCCAAATTTAAATCTGAAACCACTGTAAAAGTCTGACTCACAAATGAACACTATACAGAAGCCTGATGATGGCAGATGAGATTCTGCCGAAACGTTGCTACAACTTTAAAAGCACAACTACAATGACGTGGGAAAATACCCGAACAAAGCTGAATGCCATACATGTAAGTACCCGCGAAAACTTAAGAATATATATATATATATATATGTGTGTGTGTGTGTGTGTGTGTGTGTGTATAATTTTAATATTAAATTTATATTTAATATAAAAAATAAAAAAAAATATTAAATATATTATCTTTTTTTTTAAATTCATATTAGTGGTCCTCGGGATTTAAAATTGTGAGTTTGTTGGTCCCCGAGGTCGAAAAAGTTGGCGACCCCTGATATAGACCACGGGTGGGGAACGATGGCCCCTTTAAGACTTGTGGACTTCAACTCCCAGAATTCCTGAGCTAGCATGACTGGCTCAGGAATTCTGGAAGTTGAAGTCCACAAGTCATAAAAGAGCCATCATTCCCCACCCCTGATATAGACCAACAAAGTTCATCCAGGGTAAAGAAGTATGCCAGTGCAACACTAAAATTGTTGCTACATTTTTGTCATTTGTTGATCTGACAGATGCTTTGTGTTTCAGTTGCAATTTGCCAGTGAGTACAGCATCGATTATAACAGATAAAAAATTTTACTGAAAATTTCAACACTAACAGTGACATCATATTCATTATTATGCTGATGCTTGCAGTCAAGGAATGAAGATAAAGATGGTATCTTTATATAGTCTAGAACTACTGAATATATATACAATAGAAATAAGTTATTAATATTCAATCTATATAGTTCTAGAGAAAATAAAGAATATGTGCCGCAAAAAACACAAGGAATTCTTGTGAACATTTTTCAGAACCTCTTCACCAACACGCCTATACATGAATATTGTGTTGCTGAAATTCAAATAAGCCATAAGCAACTAATTGCATTAAAATTTAATTGCAAAAAGATAATACCAAACAACATAGGAATATATTCACAAGGAAATATATGGTTCAAGAAAGCTGTAGCTCATAAAAACGTATGTCTTTTAATAAAACGTGCTAGTGTGAGAAGATGCCACCAAGCCAATATTTGAAGCAATCTAATTATTCTTTTTTAATGGAAGAACATCAAATGATAGTTCTCTCTGAAAGGAAATCTTTTATTGTTTCCTCTTTGAACTATTTAGACTCCATGACTGTGAAACTACAGATCCTGATGAAGGTGACTCTTCAGGAAGTCCAGATGTATTGAAGGAGTTGTGTGTTGGAATAAGGAAAACAATATTTAGACTGCAAGGAACCCACAAATTCCTCACACTACTACTGTAAGGAACATACCATTTTAAAGCAAGCAGCAAGTGATACAATATGTGAGAATCCTTTTTCATGAGCTACCCCATATTTCATTTTGTCTTTTAAAGGTGTAAGACTGATCTTCTTCTGCCCAGAAGCTTGAACAAGCAGTTTATAAGGAATGAAAATAAATCAAAGCTCTTTATGAAAAACCCAACAGCAATATCTGCAGAATCTTAAGCAAGTCTTAGTTCAGTATATACAGTAACTATAATATTCTTGTCCAGTACAGCACTTCCTTCTTATGACCACAATAAGGAATCTATTGTCATAGGAAATGTGGGATTGCTCACCCTAAAAGTGTTGGGATACTTCTGATGAGACTGATGTTTCTGAAATCTGGCAATTTAAATCTTGAAATGATCTGCACATTGCTGCTACAGAGACATATTCCAAGTAAATATTCTACATATATGGCCCTAAAAATTTAGGGAAAGTGTTGCAATGATTTGTTTTAAAGTTTGTTCTATTCGTTTCTTTAAAAGTATACTTGTAAGTAATTTCTGTCATGGAGGTCCTCAGATTTTTTAATTCCTTGACAATAATAAATTGTAACTGTGCATTCTACTGTAAATAATTGCTTCTAAGCCTTAAAGAGAGCTGAAGCACTAGCAAGTCATGTGTAAATAAAAAAAAACACAAAGCAAACAAGATGCTTGTATGGAAAATCTGTATCTTAAGAAATGTAGTTGGGAGTATGCTATCATGGCCTAATAGAAAGAGAAACTGCACAACTTTTGAGCAGTGATTTTTGAATACTACACCAATGGCCCCCAACCTTTTGGGCTCCTGGGCCCGGTTCTGTGGAGAGAAGCTTTTCCGTGGACCAGAGGGGCGTGGTTTTGTCTGCTGCCTGCATCCTGTGGATGGAGGCGCTGTTTGTTTGCATGGCCTGGTTTCTGGCATGCCGCAGCCCAGTGCGAATCCACAGACTGGGGGCTGGGGGGCCCTGCACTTGAGCATGTAGTCATATTACTAGTTATGTATGGAGATTCACTAAAATCTAAACTTTCACCTTTTTGCTAGTAAATGTCTGCAGGCCCAAATAGCCATCTACCACAGTAAAGTCTATGAACAGTAGCTGAATTTTAACAACCTGAGAAAAGGAAAAAAAACAGTTTTAAAAATTTTATTTATACAATTGTTCAATTGTTTGCCACATTTGTGGCAAATCAGTCTTCAGATGTTGTTACTTTCAAGACCTCCTTTATATGTTTAAGCAAGTTATTAATAGTTTACGAGCTAATAAATTAAGCTAATAAAGGTGAAGCTGCTTATCCACCATTTTTGAATTAATTACAGTATAACTACTTCTATTATTTTGGGGATATAGTCTGATTTAAATCCTTGCTCAAAATGAGAAATGGTAAAATTGCCAAAACAAAAGTTGCAGAAATAGAAAAGATGGAATTAAGCAATACTTGTATCTTTATCCGAGTAAGCAAACAAAAAAGAAATTAAACACTTGAATGCGAAGATCAAAAACATAAGTAATACATATTTTAATTTCCATATTATAAAGTACAGAAAGTGAAACCTATGATCAAATACAAATTTAAACAAGCCACTTGTCCTTCCAAACAGTAAATCAGTAAGCTACCTATAAAAACAAATTTTAAAGTAAAATTGAAATAAAATAAATACTGTACATACACTTTCCCTGCCTGCAGGCAAAAATGGAATGGGAAACTTGAGTAAATTGGGTGGGGGGCACTCTTAAAGCTTCAGCCTCCCATTTTCCAACCGAAAACTCCACATAGAAGTGTGTTTGTATAAAAAGGAGCAAGGAACACACAACTCTCTATTCAGAAAGACAGCTATTTCACCACACTGATAAAATTGAGAATTTAGATTGACAGTAGAAAAAGGTATTGGGAAACAGACACATCAGCAAAACTACTACTACAAAACTAGCAAATATAGCCAAGACTTATCCCCTTTTTGCAAATGTAATGAATATCTTAAAAATGCCAAAGCACTGGCAAAGTTAAACTTTTCCCAGCAGAAGTGATAATTCCTATTAATATAATCTCTTAAAGTGAATTATTTCATTCCCTTCTTACATCAAGAAACTATTATGGCTTAAAATTTATATTCAAAGTTTTCTTCCAGGCAAAAAATGCAGCTTTATCAGCAGCTGCATTTTGTAATCAGTGCTAATTTCATTACCATCCTGTTCTGCACAATACAGTCATTTTATTGTAATACAGAACGTTGCTCTTTTGGGGAAAAATGGAATTGCAGCTTTTAATCCAGTTTAAACTACAAAGTGTAAGGCCTTTAAATTCAATTTATATTTCTTTCACAAAATGCAATTGCTCTGGGTTCACCTGCTTAAGTCAATGAACAAATTTTTATGGTCTGGAAGTATGAATGCATGTTAATATAAAAAAGTGAAAGGGGAGAGGTGTTTCTGTTTGTTTATTGCAGCACAGAAATTGTGATTGTGAAGAGGCACTATGCAAGGAATTGTGTAGAAAGTAATCCCTCTCAATTTCCTTCCAGTTACACCAGCTATAAAGTTGGCAAAATCTGGAAGAAAGACTGGAGTTGCTTTCTAACCTAATATTCCTAAATTTAATAATGGAAAATTCTGGTGAATCAAAGTAATCTGAATTATATAAAAAACTTCAGTGAAATAATATATCTTTAATTTGATTATGACATGTGTTGTTACACTGAAGAACATTAATGTATTTTAACTTTGCCTGTATTATTCAATCCTATCAAAATTATTTGAAATGCGTACATCAATTACAATGATTGCATAGGTAAATCTACCACAGAGATCATTTGAGGCTACATTGCAGCCTGAATTCAATAAGCAAAGACTATTGGACAATGAGACATGTGGCTTAGAATGATGCTGCTAAAATTGCTGCTCTAAAATTCGGTTTTCCTTCTGTCTTCAACATAATCCAAAATACTTTATTTTACCCTATTGGTTTAGGGAGGAAGAGGTCTAAACTAATTCTAACCTATAGCTGAAATACTAATGCCTACTTTTATAAAAGAATCTTTCTCTGAATACACATTCTACTGAGGATAGAGCAAAGTTATATCAAATTTGACTTCAATATTCTTTTTGCCCTCAAGAACATAAAACAAGTAAGGGGCTACATAAAGAAATTCAGACATCTGATACAAATGTAAAATCTGGTGCAACAGTGATTTGTATAAATAAAGCAACTAGCATACAAATGAGATGGCCCACTGTAATTTCATTATATTACTACAATAATTTATTTGCTTTTTCAAAACCATTAATTTGGATAGAGATATTTAACTTTGCCTTCCTCAAATCATTCAAAGTCTAAGAAATAGCCTTACTGAGGTGGTAACAAAAGATTTGCTTCAAATTGTGTTTGAAACATGAAAATCCAGAAATTTATCAGCATCTTTATTTTAGTAATCTATGAAGAGATATCTCTATGCTCATAACAACAGAGAACAATTTATGGGCATGGGCATCTGGGAAGAAAATGAGAAAAATGGAATAGAAAATAGTCTATCTGAAACCTACTCCTTCTCTCCCTCACTATCTCTCTTCTGCAGGTATGCATTTTAATGATTATTATTCTCAGAGAAATCAGACCAGTTGTGACACTTATCAGTTATTCTGATCAATAAAAATATAATTTTAATGTTTTTATCATTCAGTTAATTGTAGCCTCAATGTTTTTTGCATAACAGATGATGCTAGAATATCACAAGAAGAAATAAACCTCTTAAAAATATGGCTTATGATAATTGGAACTAAATCAAAACCAGCTTTTTTCTAACAGTTTTTCTGCCTAAAAAAAAGGACAGAATGCAGTTTAAAACACATGGAAAATACACAGTACAAGCACATATTTTAATGTACCATAGCCCAGTTAGAAGATATGACTCTTGAAACTCTCATTTTTTATTATGATAAAAAATGTGATTTGTATAAATATTATTATGATAAAAATGAGTTAAAACTGATTAGTAAATCTGTTCTTTTTCCAATGTTGAGTTTTCACCCTGTAATCAATTCTCTTGGCAATGCCAGCAGTCAAGAGATTCTTCCAGTCTTGTTTTTTTCCTACATTTGACATTTGTATGCTAAGAAAACTGAAGAAGGAAGGAAGGCCAAGAAAAACAGACTTTTTTTCAAAACCTCAGATATATTGTATCTGTTTGGTTTTTGTTCCTTTATTCTTCAGTTTCATTCAGTGTATTCTTAAATCTTTTTTATTTATTGTGACAGAGCTTACTTCCTAAAGGAAGGTGAAATCTATTATTACCCAAATGCAGTACACTCATGCAATTGAACTTCCCTCTTAACTTCCCCATCTGTTTTAGAAATTATCCTCAGCCCTCCAAAATGATTTGAAAGAGACCTGCTGCATGTGGGATAGAGAATCAGCCTACTTTTCCTTAACGAAAAAAAAATACTTCTTCAGATTTCATTCTAGGAATATTAGCTTAAATTTTTGGCTATCACTCCCTCACAGTTATAGAAACAATCTATTCATTTAAATGGGGCAATGGCAATGTCACTGAGGACTACAACCTTGAAATTCAGCTAAGTCCTCGTACCTGCAGTGACTAGTTTGATATGCAACAAAAAGTATAATTAGTTTAATTCAGATACATTGCACACAAATGCAGAAAATACTGAATATAAAACTATAGAGCACAGAAAGGTCCTACTTCGGGACATCTAGAGATGTTATTTTAGGTAGGCCCGGAAGGCTGGGAAGTTTATTTCAGAAAGTCAAGAGGCTGAGTAGCTTTGGCCATGCTTTAACTCTTGATCAATAAGAAAACCAAACTACTAAAGCAGTATCCCTAATATTCCTCCTCTGGTACTGAATAGCCCTCTTAGTAAAGTGGTAGTCGGATGCTTTCCCATTTTTCCCCAAAAGAGCTTAAATATTCAACTTTATCTTACAAAAATATGATTTTTCATCTAGGTTATATACATGCATTTTAGAATTGGCATTTACTATCAGATCTTTGCCAAGCATGACATAAAATATGTCATACTAAACTTCAAAAGCTATCAAACATATTTACATATTTACAAAAATGACTTAAGACCTTAATCAGCTGGCATGTGTAGACAATAAAACAATACTCTGCCACTATAACAGTCTTTCTTCACAAAATGTATTTAAATGTCTATACTTAAATCATTACCTGTAGTCCTACGTGGGTGACGGCTATGGATTAATTTCCACACCATGGAAATAAAATAAGGGAAAGGGATAAAGCAAATGTTGCTTATGTTATGCTAATTTATAATCCAGAATAAATGGTGAAACAGGAAGAGGAAATGGAAGTAATGAGGGAAGACATTTCAATGGACTAAACTACCAGAGACTTCGTACTTTAGGAGTTAGTAAAAAAGCCATCCATGATGATGTATGGAAACAACAGAATCTAAGATGTGATTTCATGTCCTTAACTTAATAAATCATATAATATATCATGTCCATGTTTTAAATCTATTATCTTTATATCAAATGCTTGAATTAAAAACAAACAATGCAGCTCTCTCCACTTGCAGACAGACATTAAAGACAAATAAAACCTTCACATTTTGACATTTTAAAATTAAAATAATTCCCCCAAAAGGTTTCTAAATAAATAGCTTAAAATGAATTCAATCCTTGACAATATCTGACAAATAAATTATTGATTACCACTTTCATCACTCTTCTGTTCATGAATTAGCTCCGACACTACCAAAGCATCAAAATGAGCCCTGAAAAACAGACCATTTTCCAATTCATAGTCTTTTCAAATATTTTCATTTCCCAAAAGTTATTGCTCAGCAGATGTGGCACAGTGAAAATGCAGCATTGGGTTTTTGTTCATCAGGCAATGTTCAAATAAGATACATGCATTCTGCTTCAAGCAGAGGAATAAAACAGAAGCTCCAGGCACTGTTATCCTCAATACTGGTCTATGTGTGAAGAAGAGCAGAAGCAGCTACTACATCAAACTAAGTATCGTACATGGCCATTTCGGTTCAGTTTTAGAATTTTCCCGAGCCGTTGTTTGGCAGTTGCCATTCCTTTCTTTGGACGCTTGCCTGAAAGAGGAAATAAATTTATGAACATTATATTATAGTCCATACATATAATTTCAAAACTTAAGAAAACAATCTTGTGGAATCATAAAGTTTAAAGTAGAGATCATCTAGTCAGCCCCTTGCTCAATGTAATATCCACAATAGTATCGCTGATAGATGAGCATCCAGATTGTTTGAAGAGCTCTAGAAAAAAAGAACTCACAACTTTATGTGGCAGTCTGTTCCACTGGCTGACAGCTCATACTGCCAGAGGTTTCTCCATGTTAACCCATTGGTTCTGCATCTGCCTTGTCCTGTGTGAAAATGGGATCTGACCAAACCAGAGTACAGTGAGACAATTCCCTCACCTCACTGCCAGTTATCTTGATTCTATACTTCTGTACCCCAAGAGAGCATTTGCCTTTTTAGTAGCTGCTTTACGCTGGTGGTTCTGCCTTATATTTTTCATTCCGTATATAGAACTTTACATTTCTCCGGGTTCAATTTCATCCTTTTTATTTCATCTGAAGGCTCAAGCCTGTGTGGATCTTTTTGTCTACATTTCTTTCTTTCATCTAAGATATTAGTCGTCCTCCTAGCTTTGAATGCTATATAAGCATTTCCCTCAACTCCCTCATCCAATAACTACTAAAAATGCACAGCATAAAAACACCATAGGATCCAAGAAACAGTTTTGTGGCACATGTTGAAATTAAAGAAGAATAAATGAAGAGAGATGACACAGACTGTCCATCATCTAGTTACATTCAGTCCTGACATCATATAGCAAAAACACCAAATACTCCTGCAGTAGTGCTGGTCAGCTGTTTATTTAGTGGATTTATATGCTATCAGCCAAGCAGGCCCATGGAAATTTCCAGTGACTGTATTACAAGTAGTACAATGATAAAATATATCATTCTGTTTTTATTGGTTGTTCTTGTGAGCTATCTAGGATCAATGTGTATAGGACAGAGGCACCCATATAAATGTAATAAACAAACAAACGAACATTTAAAACATTATAAATGAACAAATGATCAATATATTCATACAGTTTATAAAGAATGATAATATCAAAAAAAGTCTACACAGCAAAATTAAAACAGCCAATATAGTTTTTAAACTTCTAAAAAACCTTGCTGAAGGAGCAACAGGAAGGGTTGGGTGGGTATGTGATGGATGGATGGATGGATGGATGGATGTAAGCGGGAGGGAGGGAGGGAAGGAAGGAAGAAAGGAAAAAAGAAAGAGAGAAAGAAAGAAAGACAGACAGACAGTCAGTGGTTGTCAGGGTGGTCTGTTCTTCTGGGCAGCTATGGCCAAAATCGTCATGGAAGCTGGGGAGGTAGCAGACCTGCCGCAGGCCAACCTGAGCCCTTTGGGTTGCTGACCTCAACAAGGCTGCTTCTTATGAACCAGAATGTTTTCATAGGAGGTTGTGTTATGCTTTTTAATGGAAAATAAACACCACTTTTCAGCTTCAGAAAAGAGTCTCTATTGTTGAAGACAGTAAATTATCTCAGAACTGGGACAAAGAAGATGCATGGATGAAGCCTGGGGCTAAGAATTTATTTCTAATTTATTTAGGAAATTTTCATTGAGGCAAGATCTGAACTGGTGATTTTTCAAACATTATGTCAGTGTTTACATTGTTAAAGAAATTTGCAATGTGATAGCTTTGAAGTTTGAGCATGATAAAAAAACTTTTCCATAAAATAATCCCCTGGGTAAAAAATACTGAAGTTGAAAATTTCAAATCACATTTGAATGGACAGAAATGTTTACATGGATGTACAATGAATCCATTTTCTGAATATTCACATTTTAAGATAAAAATGTGGTACAAATGGCAACAGCAAGTAAATTGGTTGCCAAAAAGAACACAGTTGATTACACTACCTTTTGTTGCCTGGTTGCTAATGGGGGGTGGATTTGATGCTGGCCGCTTGGTTGGATGAAGAGGTACAGTGGATGCTTCACCATATGGTCGGTCGGAGCTGAGATCGCTATCACTTAATCTGCACTCCTCGTCAATTAAGTTGCAGTCCTGCATACATTTGCTATGCTGAAAGTTTATTCCATTATTTTGCACAGGATTCCTGTTTTCTTGAATTCTGTAACAGGTTTCAGATGCAACTTCTTTCTTAACATGTTTCTGAGTTTTACCTGCCTCCTATATATGTAGAAAAACATTTAAATCCATTATGCTTTTAATAAAATGTTGAATGTATATTTGTAGAGTTAAGCAAACAGCACCAACATTTATTATAAGACACTTAACGTGATTGCTTGTAACTTGATTTATCTACACTCAAAGTTATATGCTGGAAGGGTTATACAAACTAAATAAAATAACATATTTACTATATAAAGTGATGCAAAAGAAATGTAATTAGGAATACTAAACGCATTACATCTTTCAATAGATATTAAAATAAAACTATAAAATTTAGTTTCATATATTTTACTAAACATCATTACAGTGCATTTTCGGAGGTTTGCAAGCTATAATCAGAACAAATTGTTTATATCTGAACTTATTTGTTATTTCATTACTGGTATTAACACAACGGATCTCTAAAAATGGTTAAATCTCCTACTTCATACCTACATTTGCATCTATAGTTTAGTACTGTATACAACAGCACAACACAGAACTCTGTGCCCTATTATAATCCCATTGAGTGTTCTACAGCTTAACTACATTGCAGAAACACCCACATTCTTTCAGTTAATGTAGCAAGATTCACAATGTGTACATTCATATTAAACAGAAATGGATAATCTTATAGTTTTCAATTATACTCAGTCTCAGCTTTGGCAATCCCCGTGGATTATGAGAATTTTAAACCAAAGCATCTACAGATCAGAACCTTGGTTGATGCAGAGATACTTTTTTACATATTTTATGAGGGAAGAGATACATATTTTATCAGGGAAGAACTAAAGAGTTATAATTAGTGAATATGCAAAAAGTGGCATACACATTTTAAAAAGTCAATTTTTTGAACATTCAGTAAATATACTGTATCTCACCTGAGGACTGATTTTAGAAACTGCATGTAATGGTGTAAGAAATACTGAATCTCCCATTTCTTTTTCATCTTTTATGTGCTTGCCTGTATGGAAATTTAAAATGTTCAGAAACATTTCAAGAATTCTGATTTTAAAAAAGAAAAGAATTCTCTCCCGTTTTCCCTACAGTGATAACAATTGTTATGATTCATAGAGTTTTGTTTACTCTATTTCCTATCCACAGTTCAGATACAAATAATCCTCAACTTACAATAGCTCATTTAATGACTGTTCGAAATTACAATGGCACTGCAAAAAATGACTTATGACCGTTTTTATAACCTCTGTAGCATCCCCATGATTATGTGATCAAAATCCAGATGCTTGGCAATGACCTATATGTATGACCTTTGCTGTGTCCCAAAGTCATGTGATCACCTCTGGCAACCTTTTGGCAAGCAAAATCAATGAGGAACGCAGATTCATTTAACAACCCATGTTACTAATTTATCAACTGTGGTGATTTATTTAACTGTGGAAAGAAAGGTCATAAAATGGGGAAAAATGGGGAAAGTTTTGGCCTCAACTGTGTCTGTAAGTCCAAGGCTATCTGTACTGTTATATACAGTAGAGCTTAAATATTAATAATAATAATAATATATTCAATATTAATAATAATATTGAATTGTCAATATTTCTGCATATATATGATCTAAAACATGAACTGTTCTTTATGTATGTTCTAAAACTAAATAGAGAAAATATAGAACTAGTATTTACAATATAACAAGGATCTGATTTTAAGACTATCCTAAGTGGCAAATACACCACTCTTTTCTGATCAACAGGTTAGGACTCCCCAAGTCAAATGATATATATGAACCATGTTTGGATATTTGGAAGCCAAAATGATATCTGCTGTCATTGCAGGAAATCCTTAGGATTTGGCTTTGTTTCATGTTCCATGTACTGAGATAAAGCTATTCTACATCTATATGCTAAATCTGACCCTGGTTCAAGATGCCTAGATACACTGAAAGGTGTCACTGTTCCTCAAAGCTCATTTCAAGTCCTCTGAACCAAAAGGGAATGATCCCCATCATTTGCACACTGAGCTTGCATACTGGGCTACAAGCATACTGCACAGTTCACAGTTCTTATATTATTATTCATATAAATGTTTATGGAGATACCGTTTGCACAGATCATAATATGATGGCATTCAATCAGAGGAAAGCTTTTAATATAAGGTGAATTGGCCTCATCTCCAACAGACTAATTGAAAGAATTTATTCCTCTCGAGACCAAGCCCTTGAATTTAATTATTCTGGAAAAAAATTCCCCAGCCCAACATGTTTGTATCCATGGCAATACGGACCTTATAAGATTCTCTCTAGGGCAGATAACAGATAATCAGAGTTGGAAGGGACCTTGTAGGTCATCTAGTCCAACCCACTGCCCAAGCGGGAGACCCTACACCATTTCTGACAAATGGCAGTCCAATCTCTTCTTGAAAGTCTCAAATGATGGTGCTCCCACAACTTCCGAGGGCAAGCTGTTCCATTGGTTGATTGTTTTCACTGTCAGAAAAATTCTCCTTATTTCCAGGTTAAATCTCTCCTTGTTCAGTTTCCATCCATTATTCCTTGTCTGGCCTTCGGGTGCTTTAGAAAATAGCTTGACCCCCTCCTCTCTGTGGCAGCCCCTCAAATATTGGCAGACTGCTATCATGTCTCCCCTGGTCCTTCTCTTTACTAGACTAGCCAAGCCCAGTTCCTGCAACCGTTCGTTGTATGTTTTAGCCTCCAGTCCCCTAACCATCCTGGTTGCTCATCTCTGTACTTTTTCTAGTCTCAACATCTTTTTTATAATGTGGTGAACAAAACTGGATGCAGTACTCTAGGTGTGGTCTTACTAAGGCTTTATAGAGTGGTATTAGTACTTCCCTTGATCTTGACTGTATCCCCCTGTTAATGCAACTTAGGATTGCATTAGCTTTTTTGGCTGCTGCTGCTGCATACTGCTGGCTTATATTTAGCTGGTTGTCCACTAAGACTCCAAGATCCCGCTCACAGTTCCTGCTATTGAGCCTGGTTTCACCCAGTCTATGTGTACTTTTGGTTTTTCTTGCCTAAGAGTAGGACTTTACTTTTCTCTACATTGAATTTCATTTTGTTAGATATGGCCCAGTGTTCTAGTCTGTCAAGATCCATCGGGATCTTGAGCCTATCTTCTTGGGTGTTAGCTATTCCTGCCAGCTTAGTATCATCTGCAAATTTGGTAAGTTCCCCTTCTATTCCCTCATCTAAGTCGTTAATGAAGATATTGAAGAGTACTGGGCCTAAGACGGAACCCTGTGGCACCCCACTGCTTACTTCCCTCCATGCAGACTTAGACCCATTAAGGACTACTTGTTGAGTATGGTTTGTCAGCCAGTTGCGAATCCATCTAGTGGTGGTGCTATCTATTGAGATATCTATTATTGTATTGGCATTCACCAATACAAGTTGGTTGCCACCACCCCTACTGCAAAAAATGAAATGTGACATTAATGTACTCCTTTCTTTTAATGAAAGAAGAAATCAGGGTATTGTCCTTGCATACAATCATACCAAGTCCTGAACTATAGTCATCATATTCTGCATCTTTATCTGCGCTATAAGTGATTGCTACATATTAACACTTCCTGAATCACAATCTGGATCATTAGTCTTCACTCTTGAGACAGAAAAGCCTTTTTCCACTAAGTGCCTATTATGATTCTCAAAGAACTTTTCTCCCTACTTATCACAAATGAATAGTCACAAACACAAACACTGAAAAGTCTGATCAATAGTCCTGACTGCTTCTACCATGGAGAAAGTTTTGTCTGTCTGTCTGTGTACTTCCTGAGTTTTTAGGTATTGTACCCAACCAAAGATGATGTCTGTGAAGACTCTTTAAGAGTCAAGGATGAATGGAAGAGTTCTGAATTGAAAGTCCTCCTTCCTGTAAATAATACTGAAACACTTTAAGGGTATACGATGGTTTGATTTGGACAGACCTATTGATGCTAGGAAATTCTTGAGGAGGATCAGTTTTGCCATAGAGATCAGTTTCCATTCTGAATAATCAATGACAGATGAATTTTCCTCCTGGCCACAGTTGCCACCTGCTTTTTCAACACAAGCTGTGACTCCAATAGCATCTTCAAATTGTGCAGAAGACTCAAATGAGGAAATGCAACCTTCACTGAAAACTAGCAACAAAGTAAGCCAGAACTACAAGGCCAAAATAAAAACTGTCATTTGGTCTTGTAAGGACAAAGCCCAAATCTGTTCTGCCTCCTCCAAAGTCACAAAACTTCAAAATACTGAGCTAGGACTTTAAGGGGAACACTCAGTTGGCTTAAGGTAAAGTTACACAACAGGCTATTAATGATACCAATATTATTGAAGACCAAAATTGGAATAGATATATGTCCCCAAATTAGACAGATTATTGGCTTTCAGGATATGCTGAATTGTTTCCTTTTCACTTACAAGTACTGGAGCCTGGTCAAAAGACACAGACTTACAATAAAAAATATTGAACTCAGGCTTTGAGAACCAGGATGGAATTCTTTTATATATGAAATCCACAATCTGAAAATTATGTAGCTAGAGCAATATCATTTTGTAAATGGAAACTGTCTTGTTTCTATTATCATTAAAAAAATGGGAGTTACAAAAACCTTATTAATCCATTGCAAATCACCAGGTTAGAATTTATCTTCAAGCCACCCTGAAATATCCAGCAACAGGACAACTTACCATGTTCTGGTTTATAACTCTGAGAAAACATTTTATCTTTATGCCTATTTTTGGAATAGCTTCTGTGATCTGGAACAAAGCTTCTTCGTTCAGTGCTGTCTGTGGTCTGAGTATGACTTGGTAAACAAGTGGTATAGTGCAATCCTGCCATTGACAGCATGCCCTGAATAGCTTCTTCCTCCATACTTGTTGAGGTAGGACATTCCCTAAAAAAGAGCAGAAAAGTACAGCTACATACATGTGTGTATGTGTGTATTCCTGTTCAATATCATTTGTTCAAATTATCTCCAATATTTTTTGTACCACAGACCTCCTATACAATTACAATTACTCACATTTTATTTGCATTTTCATTCCTAGATGGCTTCTCTGTGATTTGAAACAGGTCCTTTGTTATTTTATTTTCCTCTTTAAAATTTGAAGTTACTTCTTGTTTTTCATCATCTCCTGAGCTTTCTGATTCCTCTAGTGAGGAGTCTTTTTGCTGCAGGGAGAGAAAATTATTTAAGTATTCCACTGACTAAATATAATCAGTGATTTAAACTGTAGTTAAGGGTCATCAAAAAGATAAGTAACAGGGTTTTTTTCATTCAAATAATACTGTAGTAAATGTGAATAGATTGCTGAAATGCCTAAGTGTGAAATCTTAGCTTTAACACTGTTATTTGGGACAACCCATTCAAGAGTAGTCAGCAATTTAAGAATGTTCTTGAACTCACAGTGCGATCAAACATGTGACAGCTATGGCCTAGAGGGCCTTTTCCCAGTTTCATTTGATATACCAGTTCTGCTCTTTCTTTGATCAGAAGACCCTTAGAACAATTGTTCATGCTCTAGTCATCTCATGGTTTGACTACTGCAAAACACTCTATGTGAAGCTGCCCTTGAAAGCAACTCAAAAGTTCCAATAGGTCCAGAATTCAATAGCATAAACAGCAATAGGCATGACTTTGTATTCCTATGTGACACATCTTTTTAAATTAGACTGGTTGCCTTGATGAGTCCAGGTGCGATTACAGGTACCAATCCTACATATAGGACATATAAAGCCCTACATGGCATAGGGCCAGATTATTTGTGGGACCACCTGTCTTCTATAGTTTCTGCCTTGCCAGTTGGTGCTGATAGACTACACATGCTCCACATCTCTTCAGTTAAATAGTGCTTTTTATCAGGACCCAGGAAGCATGCCTTCTCTGTCACAGCAGTTACCCTCTGCAACAAGATCTTCCCTGAAATCCATATGGCTTTCACCTTGTTAGCATTTCATAAGGTCTTGAAAAACCTCCCCCAAGCCTTGAGTTAAGATGGCTGGATTCCTTTGTTAGATGTATTTTTGCCTACGTTTTTGCAGTGAGAGATTGAATAGTATTTTGTTTTTGTTTTATATTTTTATTACTTGATATATTGTGAACTATTTAATCAATTTAGAGTTGGGCAGTCCTAAATTTAAATAAATGAATATAAAGGTCAAGTATGATGGAAAATAAGATAAAAATATCCCCATATACATGACTAATCCATA